GACTTATTTAATTCAGCGAAACGCATCACCTGTAACAAAAATTTACCGCCTGTCTACCAGCAGCTCTCAAGATCAAGATCTAGTTGGACATTTGCCTATAGAATTATCATTTCTGCTGTGTAAATTTTTATCTCGTGAAGGTTGCAGCTTAGAATTTTCACCGACAGGAGCAAGGTTTCTCAAGGACGGACTTGTGGTTCCCGGGCGGTATACTGCTTTGTCTAACCATAAGAAAATGGTGACAATTCTTCATAGAGAACTAGAGCGCAAAGTTGAGAAAGTTAAGCATATGAAATTGGAGGTCATAGGGCCGAAGACCAAAAACAATATGAACTTCCAGCCTGAATAAACCATAACTGATCAGTCCACGTTAATCGTTAATTTTTTTGTGAAGAATAAGGATTGGGGGAGGGGGAGGGAGGGGGCTTAATAGAGAGGGGGGCTTATTAACTTTCCTCCTCTGAAAAGGGGGGGCTTATTAGAGAGGGGGGGCTTATTTGAGAGGGGCGGCTTAGTAGAGGATTTACGGTAACGCTCGCGTGCTCTTAACTTTATCGTGGACAGGTTTCAGACAAATAATACGCTGATTTATTCTCACGGACTTTTATATACAATGTAGCTTGATATAAACACTTATTTTGGTTCAAAGTTCAGTTTTTATCGATCGCCTTCGTGTCGTGTAGCGTTACATGCACAGTTATTTGACACTGTTAATGTCCAGTATCAACAATCGAAATATGTTAGGCTTTGGTCGCAGCACTTCACTTTCCATTGGAAACTACTAGTTTATGGTTAGATTTATACATTAGTTAGATTATGCTGCATATGGCATCCAGACCTGATTAAACAAAAAATGATAATAATAAACAACAGGGGAATCTTGTAAAAGCCCGTAAGGGTTTCCTAAATTTCCCATATTGATGTAATAGACGTTGTCACGGTTTTTGACGCCATCTTGACGAGTAGGCAAACGTGTGAGAAATTGCAGTGTTTGTATGAGAATCTAATGTCGAATAATTTCCGTAAAACGCCTGTTGTGAAAAAAATATCAATTGCAAACTAAAGCTACAAAGCAAAGAATTGCACTAAACAAATTTGGAGACGTACCTATGCTTAAATTTCTCCAGAAGCTTGCTTTAGATTTTCCATATATTTGTCTGTAATTTTTCCTGGGCTTTCTTACAGATAAATGTATAGAAAATTTAAAAAAGTGGTTCTAGGTCTTCTAGCGCATGTAACGCCCTCAATTTTTTTTCAGTAGAATCCTTAGGAGTGAAGCTTTAGTTTGCAATTGATATTTTTTTCAGAACAGCCGTTCTACAGAAATTATTCGACGTTAAATTTCCATACATACAAACATTGTAATTTTTCACGCGTTTGCCTACTCGTCAAGATGGCGTCGAAAACCGTGACAAGGTCTATTATATCTGTTCAATATAATAACATTAATGTTGTTGTAAAGTCTGTACCCCGCCTTCCAAACAATTTTTTACTAAGTCTTTGGCCTGGTCAGAAATCAGCATGAATTTCCAGCTCGCCGAATAGACTTCAACACTAGAACCTACTTTGTGAGGCCAAAGACTTGTTACTGCCAAGTTACAACAAAGTTAACAACAAAGTTCGCAACAACAAGCCCGGGATCAGTCGTTCACCCGTGTAACCCGAAATGAGACGAAATACGAGAAGATATTGCACGCAGCAGACTTTGCCAGACGTGAGAATTGTTTCTTCATAAGGCTTAATGATGCCTTCCGGAAAACTTTGCTCAAGGCAGCCAAAAAATCTGGAAGACAACCCACTATGAGAGCCGAGTTCAGTCTAATACGCGCGCTGATTTCAAACTGACATACAGAGGGAATTATGGGAAGTTATCATAAAATTTTTTTTTCTAGGGTGGAGGGGGTAAGAGGTCAAAAGCCAACGAGAAACTCATCAAAGTCTATCTACTGTAGCCTATCCGGTACCGATTAAATAGATATAAAGTAACTATAAAAAAAAATAAACAAAAACAAAAAAAAACAAAAAAAATACTCCGCTACAAGACTCAGTCAGAAGGTATCTAGAGAGATTTCTTTAGCCATATTTTTGCAAATCCAGACAGAGAAGGAGGCGGAGGAACGCGCGAAACGTCCCCAGCGGCGAAGAGCGAGGAGAAACGGATGTTTTCGCAGGCTAATCCAGACAGATATGTATGTATGTATATCACCGCATTTACTTCGATTTCAAGAACGGCCTTCGAAATAGAAGCTCTTTCGTTCGCAGTCAATCGATTCAGAAAGAAAACAAAAGAACACTCAGAACACAAATAATGTGTGACGTGGAAAACTTTAAGCCCGGGAGAAATCCTGTTTCGTATAGAAAGCCACGTTTTTGCTAGCGAAGAGTGTGAATGCAAGTGAAGGTAAAAAATTCCCGTGAATTGAAGTGATACATTTCCGAATATTTCAAGCAATTCCTGGAACTCGTCGGTGTTTTGGTTAAATTTGTATTCAGCCAGGCTTTGTTGTATTTTATTTAATTGAGAAATTGCTTTAGTTATTAAGAGTTTTTTTAGAAAGTGACAATGTTTGTGTTCCCTTGGCAGTAAAACGTTTTATTACACGACGGAAGCAAAGATTGAAAATGATTTAATGGGCTGCGAAGCTTTATGAACCAGTTAAATATTGAACTCGATTCCATTTCATTCACTCCACTTACCGTAAATCCTCTATTAAGCCCACCAGGGGAGCTTATTTTTTTCAAGCACTTTTGAGGGGGGGGGGCTTAATAGAGAGGGGGGGGGGCTTAAAAGAGAGAGGGGGGGACTTATTTAATTCAGCGAAACGCATCACCTGTAACAAAAATTTACCGCCTGTCTACCAGCAGCTCTCAAGATCAAGATCTAGTTGGACATTTGCCTATAGAATTATCATTTCTGCTGTGTAAATTTTTATCTCGTGAAGGTTGCAGCTTAGAATTTTCACCGACAGGAGCAAGGTTTCTCAAGGACGGACTTGTGGTTCCCGGGCGGTATACTGCTTTGTCTAACCATAAGAAAATGGTGACAATTCTTCATAGAGAACTAGAGCGCAAAGTTGAGAAAGTTAAGCATATGAAATTGGAGGTCATAGGGCCGAAGACCAAAAACAATATGAACTTCCAGCCTGAATAAACCATAACTGATCAGTCCACGTTAATCGTTAATTTTTTTGTGAAGAATAAGGATTGGGGGAGGGGGAGGGAGGGGGCTTAATAGAGAGGGGGGCTTATTAACTTTCCTCCTCTGAAAAGGGGGGGCTTATTAGAGAGGGGGGGCTTATTTGAGAGGGGCGGCTTAGTAGAGGATTTACGGTAACGCTCGCGTGCTCTTAACTTTATCGTGGACAGGTTTCAGACAAATAATACGCTGATTTATTCTCACGGACTTTTATATACAATGTAGCTTGATATAAACACTTATTTTGGTTCAAAGTTCAGTTTTTATCGATCGCCTTCGTGTCGTGTAGCGTTACATGCACAGTTATTTGACACTGTTAATGTCCAGTATCAACAATCGAAATATGTTAGGCTTTGGTCGCAGCACTTCACTTTCCATTGGAAACTACTAGTTTATGGTTAGATTTATACATTAGTTAGATTATGCTGCATATGGCATCCAGACCTGATTAAACAAAAAATGATAATAATAAACAACAGGGGAATCTTGTAAAAGCCCGTAAGGGTTTCCTAAATTTCCCATATTGATGTAATAGACGTTGTCACGGTTTTTGACGCCATCTTGACGAGTAGGCAAACGTGTGAGAAATTGCAGTGTTTGTATGAGAATCTAATGTCGAATAATTTCCGTAAAACGCCTGTTGTGAAAAAAATATCAATTGCAAACTAAAGCTACAAAGCAAAGAATTGCACTAAACAAATTTGGAGACGTACCTATGCTTAAATTTCTCCAGAAGCTTGCTTTAGATTTTCCATATATTTGTCTGTAATTTTTCCTGGGCTTTCTTACAGATAAATGTATAGAAAATTTAAAAAAGTGGTTCTAGGTCTTCTAGCGCATGTAACGCCCTCAATTTTTTTTCAGTAGAATCCTTAGGAGTGAAGCTTTAGTTTGCAATTGATATTTTTTTCAGAACAGCCGTTCTACAGAAATTATTCGACGTTAAATTTCCATACATACAAACATTGTAATTTTTCACGCGTTTGCCTACTCGTCAAGATGGCGTCGAAAACCGTGACAAGGTCTATTATATCTGTTCAATATAATAACATTAATGTTGTTGTAAAGTCTGTTTTGAAATTTTTGTTTACAATGAAATGCCATGGTTGGTCAGTTACAGTTGAAAGAACAATGGCTTTTATTTATTTGTAACCTAACTTGGGCATCAGCTGTACACCCGGGCTGTACACTACTTGTTTGTGATGGGAGTCGTTTTTCTTTGGAAAAATATTAATGGGGTTTACGTTTTCATAATAGCTGCTTTCAGACCTTTTTACATTCCAGAGCTTTTTTGGTAGAGAGCCATGGCTAGTATTTGATCATGACATTTAAAGTATTTTTAGAACGTTTGTCTTTTGGATCGTTAGCTTTTGCTGGGTTGCCTTTTAGTTATTCGGCAAACTGTTTTGCAAACTACCTCAGGATCAACCCTGAACCCTGATCACAAAAGGCGCCCAAATTGACCTGTAAAATAATCCCAATTTCTACAAGGAGGGAGAATCTAATATTTAGAACATCACTGGTTTTCTATTTTTCTTTATAAACCCCATAACTAAGTGCTTATGAGTTTGAAACACTCGCAGTATAGCCTTGTGTCCATGATGAGCTAAACACAAGAATTGGGTTGTGTCAACAAAGTTTTATTGATAGTAGTGACTGGCCTCCATCAAGGGACACAAATGTTTTGGACATCTTAACGTGGCCAATTTCCAAATATGAATTTGGAAACGATCTTAGTTTACGAGTTTATGATGAATTCCTGCTGGCTAATCAGTGTAGAGAGGGTAGTTAGCATTAATATTTTTAGAAATTTTACAAACCGTATTATTTAGCAGGTCATTTTTGCATGAAATTCAGACATATAACATTACTGTTGAGGAAATTTTGAACTGTATTTTTGAGATCGATTTAAATGACAGTTTAGTAAAGGAAGTTATCAAAAGGTGAAATTTCACCTATTTTGCATGTGTTACAAAGTAGGCACCTGAGAATAGATAGCACCTAAAGTGACCCCTGGTGCTCTCTCAGTTCAGCTGAATGCAACATCTATGGTTGTTTAATTACAACCTAAGAAGAAAAAGAAGAAAATCTTATTAACTGAGAAACATTTGGGTGGGGTTTGGGCAGGTTTTATCAGATTGTAGTGTGTTATTTTATGGTAATACCTACATATAAATGCATAACATTCTAGGTTATCTTTACTTGCTTGTTGTTTTTAGTTTTATCATCAGCGTAGATTAACTCAGATGCCAGCTTTTTGAGTGGCTATGCCACGCCCTATCCTTTCCATCAATTCAATTCCAAAAATAACCGGTGGTTTTGTTGTTTAAGACTATATTTAGGTTTTGAACCTGTTTCCTGTTGTCTTTGGCTTGATTTGGAACCTGAAAAAGTTGGGCTGATCTTTTTCAAGTTTTAATGCGATGACTGCAAATTTGTTTCAATCTATATCTTTTTCATAACTCTACAGGAGCAATTTGTTTATAATTGAAATTGTGCTGAGTATGACTAAGCACAGAATTAACCTAAGGCAGCAATATCCTCGAGAAATAGCAAATATTAGCACTTGAGTTATTACATATTTCCCTAGTGGTTTGAGGTAGTTTTATTTTGCCAACGTTAGTCTTTTTATTTTCCTGAGAATTTTCCGTATTCAGGAATTCCCTCACGATCGATATGCTGCTTGATACTTTCGCTATTTACTATTTCGGCATCACGTCAGCGCAATTATTGATTTGTTATCCTTTTCTTCCGGTTTAATAAAGTAAAAACAATAGTAATAATAATATATTTATTTATATAGCGCCAAAACTATATAAACATACTAAAGCGCTAATAATAGCTGACAAACAGACATAACAAACAGTACACTTTGAGAAAGCAAAAACAAAACACCACAACCACTGTACACGAATTGGTTCCTTAGGCAAAAGCCAAACGAAATAAACAGGTCTTCAGAACACTCCGGATACTACTGATAGTTGAAGGACGAAAACTAGTAAAGCTTAGTAAAACTATAAAACGAGTAAACCATTTTTGGTCATGCCCAGCAATCAAATGGCAACTTTTTGCTTCGCTTAACCGAATGTTGCAAATTATAGATGTTACAGTTTCTCAGTCGTTTCTTCTTAGCTATGGCCAAATTGACTGTAATAACTTTAGTGCTGTTAGTTTGGTACTCAAAGCAGTCGGTAAAATGACATGTAGCAGTTAGGTACTACTGGATAAGTGGACTATAAGTAGAATTTTCTTAGTGCCTACCCCTGTGACATTTATGGTACCCTACTAGCAGAGTCGCTTCAATCTTTCCTAGATAATTTGGGAAAGAGGAAGCGACCCGCCGACATCTTCAAACTCCTTTTATCAGCCGCTCATCCCGCGATTTGGATGAGTTGAACAAATTTCATACTGGATAAGCCAGTTTTTTCTGTACACGCAAGCGTATTCTGGAGTTTTCCTGACTTTTTCTGCGATCACGCTCAATAACAAAACAAATGGCTGCCGCTTCAATTTCACCAATTAATTTTCAGAAAATTATTGAATCAACGTTCAGTAAACTGCGGCGGAGCGCTACTCCTGCTTTTAGAAAAATGGGAAAATGCACCCCGATTTGAGATGAATTTTGTTTTAGATATAACCATGTGCTTAGTCGATTTTACTTGCGTGAACGGATCCACCATCCAGTAAGTGTTACGCGAAGTTCTTGAAAGAATAAACTAATGAGTTTTTGACTAAGAATATTTAAGAAATAAATTAAATGCCTATTTTTTGCCCATTGCGTTCGAGGTACGTGAACGCAAACCCTAATTTGTGTTGGGTGTTCTGTGCATTATTGGGTGTCCTGTGCAATTAATAAGAGAGTCGAGGTTTTTTCGAGATTGCATTCGTCGTCGTCGTCGACACACATTTGCCTCGCTTTGGGGCGCTTGCTTACGTTTTGCCTCACTTTGACGCGCCAACTCACGTGGTGATTCGTGTGTCCTCAGCGTTCATCTTTCAAACGTTTGCTGAGGTCTGCTATTCTGTCTTCGTAAATCGTTCATCTTTTAAAAGTGTGCTGAATCTTCGTCAAGCGTACATATTTAAGAGTTTGCTGAAGGTCTACTATCGATCTACTATCATCTTCAAAAATGTGCTGAAAGTTTACACCCTGAGTAAAATTTTACTTTGGATTAATCCTTCATATTTTTCTTTGGAAAATGCGTGCTACTCCTGGTGCATGCATCAAACCGGGTTGTTTAGCTCGGCGTCCGTTGTGCCACAAGGTGAATTTACCGGCGAGTTGTGAAGCTCAGCGTCTGTTGTGCCACAAAGTAAATCTACTGAGTTGTGTAGCTAGGCGGCCATAGTGCCACAGAGTAAATCTACCAAGTTGTGTAGCTCGGCGGCGGTTATTCCACAAAGAAAATCTGCCGGGATGTGAAGCTCGGCGGCACCATTTAATTTCGGCACTGGACAAACGAACATTTTAGCTCTATGTTATTTATTCGGAAAAACGTGACCAGCCCACAGTAGCGCCACTCAAGCCACTGAAATCAATACACTCAACCAAATTACTGGAAAAGTTATTGACGTGAGCCGCACGCACATTCCGCTGAAAGCTTTGATTCCCTTGAAAGGTGTGAAATTGAGAGTTGTAGTGTAATTGAACCAGTGTTCGAACACAATCATTGTGCCCCGGCATTCACCACAAAAATGTGGTCTTGGGTCGTTCTTTAATATCATCACAAGTTAAGAAGACTTGCCAGTAACGGTTTCCGGCATTTTAAAGTAAATTTCAGTAATTGTCTTCATGTGGAATTCCCAATATTAAATAAAATTAATGATTACATCTAAAACTTTGTCAACTATTTGCTTTTTAACAGTACCTGGGCCGGGTTGTTCAAAGCTGAGTTAAGATAACCCAGGCGAGGAGGTTTAATGCGAAATTTGAACTCAGATGTGAAAGCTTCATTTTGCCAACAAGTTGATGATTGGACGCTCTTAAAAATAACTGAGAAAATTATCCAAAGAAATGTTTTTTAACGAAAGGAAAAGAAACCAGGGTTAAGCGCTGATCGGCCTTCGAACAACTGCGCCCTGTAGAAGCTTGTAGAATATCTATTGCGCCAGTAAAANGTGAATTTACCGGCGAGTTGTGAAGCTCAGCGTCTGTTGTGCCACAAAGTAAATCTACTGAGTTGTGTAGCTAGGCGGCCATAGTGCCACAGAGTAAATCTACCAAGTTGTGTAGCTCGGCGGCGGTTATTCCACAAAGAAAATCTGCCGGGATGTGAAGCTCGGCGGCACCATTTAATTTCGGCACTGGACAAACGAACATTTTAGCTCTATGTTATTTATTCGGAAAAACGTGACCAGCCCACAGTAGCGCCACTCAAGCCACTGAAATCAATACACTCAACCAAATTACTGGAAAAGTTATTGACGTGAGCCGCACGCACATTCCGCTGAAAGCTTTGATTCCCTTGAAAGGTGTGAAATTGAGAGTTGTAGTGTAATTGAACCAGTGTTCGAACACAATCATTGTGCCCCGGCATTCACCACAAAAATGTGGTCTTGGGTCGTTCTTTAATATCATCACAAGTTAAGAAGACTTGCCAGTAACGGTTTCCGGCATTTTAAAGTAAATTTCAGTAATTGTCTTCATGTGGAATTCCCAATATTAAATAAAATTAATGATTACATCTAAAACTTTGTCAACTATTTGCTTTTTAACAGTACCTGGGCCGGGTTGTTCAAAGCTGAGTTAAGATAACCCAGGCGAGGAGGTTTAATGCGAAATTTGAACTCAGATGTGAAAGCTTCATTTTGCCAACAAGTTGATGATTGGACGCTCTTAAAAATAACTGAGAAAATTATCCAAAGAAATGTTTTTTAACGAAAGGAAAAGAAACCAGGGTTAAGCGCTGATCGGCCTTCGAACAACTGCGCCCTGTAGAAGCTTGTAGAATATCTATTGCGCCAGTAAAACAAAAAGTTCTTTTTACACGCCCGAAGCACTCTGGTCAGTGTCTCCTCAAATAACCAGCACTTGAGACGAACCATACGATATCACGCTGATCATTAGCCTTCAAAACCTTTTCATTTATCATACACGGTTTAAATCGAGGTTTCGCTGTAGGCAACCCTTAAGTTCAAAATATGCCATAATCATAGTTATCTATCGCAAGAACCATCCACTCTTTCCCTTCAACTGCCACCTGTACGCCTAGCAAACATACCGTAAAATTCCGAAAATAAGCCCCTCCACGTATAAGCCCCTCCAAATATAAGCTGCCCCAAACTCGTAACGCAAAAAACCCTCAGTTAAATCGCCCCTCCAAACATAAGCCCCCCGTGGGCTTGTACTTGGAAAATTGCCGTCAAATACAAAGTAAAACAAAGCGAAAATGGCAAATTTACCTCTAACTATAAGGTTAGTCCAATCTATTTTGAAACGCAAATTTCCCTCTGTAGATAAGCCTCTCCAAAAATAAGCCCCTCAACAAGGCCCTTTGAAAAATGTAAGCCCCGGGGCCTATTTTCGGAATTTCACGGTATCGAACGCACTCTCCTAAGCTCCGATTACTCCTAGTTCATAACATTAATTCAAAATAGGGAGTGAGGCTACAGAATCCAAGTTGTATTTAAATGATCAATGGTTTTAATATTTCAGGTGTATCTGACACTTCTAGTTTTACCATTTCCCGGGCACTATTTGAAATTCATATGCAAACATGTTTTAATGGTTTTCTAGATTTATAATAAAAACATCAATAATTAAAGATATTTATAGCTTATTTGCACCTCATTTTTTGGAGAGAATTCCCGAGAAGGAAAGGCTAAGTTCCATTTGAATTTGGAGCATGCTCAATATGAATTGTCGATGATGTTGGCGTTTCCTTCCTCTTCCAGCTTCTTCCCGACTTAAATTGTCTAGGAAGATCGAAAGAGACTCTGTTCACAGGCTACATTTATCGAAAACAAAAAGCAAAAGAGTCGGCCAAAATATTATGAACTTACGCACACAGAACTTGACGGACATCGCATGAGTGTTTTAACCTTTCCTTGTTATATGAAGGCAATACAGTGGCCATACTACCGAGGTCCTGCTAGGGGAGGGGGGGGGGGGTNTCTTGGTAGGAGTGTGCCGCCCGGTTCTCCAAATCCTAACCCTATTTCAGACCTAAAAATGGAATTTTCCACACCCGTTTTCAGACTACACCTGTAAAATCCATACCCGTTTTCAGACCTGGCCTTTAGGCAGAAATTATGTTATCATTACTAAGATTATAGCGCAAACAAAAAACTCTTCAAATCCATTGCGAATTCGCATATTATTCTTTGTTTCTTACGCATTTGGAATTGAAACGATAAATACGTTCATACACTCCCGTAGTTCCCTTAAAAACATACCCGATTCCAGACCAAAATAGGCAAAGTGTATACCCGTTTTCAGACCAAAACAGCGCAAAAACCCTACCCGATGGGGCGGCACATAACAATGTAGCTTATATAAGGGAGTACCCCCCTGGGGAGGCTAGTTAAGATCTAAAATTAAAATAACATACACCGAATGCAAATATGGCGGATCTCTCGGTCGGCCGGGGTCTAGCTGCGCGAAAGCGAGGCCAGTGAGGCCTCAAGAGTTATGTTTTGACTGCGCGTCATAGCGATTGAGTCGATCAATACGGTTTCCTTCGAGTTGTTACGTGCTTAAGAGCCATCAAAGAGGCGATTTAACTCCAGCAGAAACGAAAGTTGATTATCTTCGCTTTGCCAAGGTTCTTTACGAAGAAAGAAATGGATTCAAGCGATTCGGCGCGGCGAATGGAGGCACTTTACTATCACGGAGTTGAAAGAACGAAAGTGTGCTCGCTTCACTTCAGAAGAGAAGACTCACAAAACTATTAGAATGGGCGAATAACGGAGAGATTCATGGTTCTGTTTCAAGTTTGCTTTGTCCGTTCTCTTACCAAGGAAAGGTAAACATCTTCGAGAACAGGTGAATCCGCCGTCGCGACTTACCAATCTTTAGGAGTTCTCAGAGACACAACGACAGACAACGAGGCCGAATGTTTTCACAGTCTTCACGATCCTGTGTTCACGAGTTTGAGCAGTGCCATAAAAGAAGCATTTTTTTGGAAAATCGCTGTTAGTTTATCTCGAAACCAATTGACAAGTTGCTAAAATAGATCACGCGCAAGGTCAAATACAATGCTCGAATACTTGCTCGCTCTTTCTCTGACAGAACGTTTTTCCTTCTTCTTACTTTCTTAGTTCCCAACGGTTCCTCTGTCAGTTTTTTCAGTGCACTTTGATCAAGGACTGTGTTTGAAATATGTCGCTTTCTTCTGGTTCTTACATAGTTTCATAGGCCACGCTTGTAGGATTAACAGGCGATTGTTATTCTTGTGTCTCATTCATACTCGTCATTATTGTTATATTTCAATGCAGCTGTTTTCAGCGTGAAATCTAAAAGATTTTACAGTCAACAGCGCATGCTTCCGTCCTCGAGAATGTTTACCTTTGTTGAATAAATAACAGACCATGCAAACATCTTGGAACAGCACCATCTCTTAAGTCCTCTCTTCTAAAGTAAGTGAAGCGAACACACTTTCGCTGTAAAGTGCTTCCCATCGCCGCGCCGAATCGCATGAATCCTTAACTTTCTTTGTGAAAAGATCTCGGGAAAGTAGAGGCTATTCCAGCTAGAGTAAAATTTTCTTTTTGGTGGCCCTCAAGCACGCAATAACTCGAGGCAAACCATATCGATCGACTCAATCGCTAAGACGCGCAGTCAAAACAAGACTCTTGAGGCCTCATTAGCCTCCCTTTCGCGCAACTAGACCCGGGCTGGCCGAGAGGTCCGCCATATTTGCATTCGAAGATGATTAATTTAATGCAACCATAATAAAGCGAGAAATAAAATCTCGAAATCCTCAACGTTAGTTTCTTCACAACGTGCATTTAACTCAATTGTCTTTTTTGCTTTTGACATTATTTACAAATATTATTTCTTTTCTTTTTGCTTTGCTCTTTACTTATTATCAGGTGATATTTGATTGTAATAGAATTAATTTCGCTCGCCACGGCGTTTGGGCTAGCTGCGTGCCAAGAAATTGAATGCGCGCAATATTTTAAAGGCTAAAATCCATGACAGGATAGATAGCTTAAACGTATAATTTGCTTTTCTCCCTTATAATCCACTTTGCGATCTTATAACCACATAGAGGGGCTTCAATTTTTCACAACTGGTGAACATCTGGTGAAATCGGGCTACTTGCGAGATGGGTTTATAAGAAAGAAATCGCAGCAACGTTTTCTGAACAGCTTTCAGAGCAGTCCCACGTATGCCAACCTCGTCAGATAGCCTCTCCAAAAGTATTCGATGATCAACAGTGTCAAAGGCAGCACTGAGATCCAATAAAATTAAACATAGTGACATGTTGAGAGTTCATCTTTAACAAAATATCGTTCATCACCTTGATAAGTGGAGTTTCAGTACTATGGAATCGCCTGTAAGAAGACTAAAGCGCAGGAACAATAGCATTTGAAACCATGTGATCGTAAACTTGATTAAAAACGACTTTTTCAGTCAACTTGGATACGTATTGTAAGTTACTAACTGGTCTGTAAGTTTTGTACAGCAAATCCAATCCAGGTTTCTGCAAGATAGGATTAATAAGCCCACATCTCCAATCATCCGCAAATTCTCCAGAATTAAGAGACAGGTTGATCATTTTAGTAATGACCGGTAATAGCACATCAGCACAGCTGATCACCATAGGTATTGACATCGGATCAAACATACAGCTCTTCTTCGGAGAGCAGCCAATCAACTTACTAACTGCACTTTCAGTTAAAGGGATAAAGCTGTCCAGTGTTCTAGTTGATAACGTTTTCACGTAGTCAAAATGGGAATCATCCAAACAATCAGCTAGTCTATCCAGTTTGACATGGATGGCGTCAATCTTTTCAACAAAGAAGCTACCCATTTCATTGGCTAAAACCAGCTTGTCACTAGTTGTTGGAAAAGGTACTTCATGACCTTGATTTAACAACCTCTTTGTTGCCGAGAATAAGTTCCTTTGATTGGAGTTATTTTCAACAATAAAGTGTGAGTAAAACTTACGACGGGCTTCATTCATCAGGTAGGTTGTAAAGTTCCTCTTCTTTTTAAATTCAAGCAAATCACGGACACTTCGAGATCGACGCCATTTTCTTTCAGCTCTCCGTCTTTCCCTCCTTGACTCCCTAATATCTTCACTAAACCAAGGTACCAAAGGCCTCACTGTGATAAACTTAGTGACAAGTGGAGCATGACGATCAACAAGCACGAGCCTATTTGCATCCTCCTCCCTCCGCTACGCAATAGAAACCAGCTGGATCCCCAGACTTGAAAAACTGCTGAGTGGGGAATAAAAGGACTTAATATACCGTCCTTACGCAAACGGAAGTGAAAACAGCATAATTTTCTGATATGCTATTTGAAGACAAATGTGAGGTACTTTCACACGAGTTAAAGAAGAAATGTTAGGTCACGTTAGATGAAAATGAAAAGGGTGTGGCCTAGGTCATCCCCTGGCTCATTCCTCAGTGGGCAAAAGTCGTGCTGCTTCTTGCCATGGCCCTTGGATCTTGAAACTGGCCCAAAATGACCGATAACCGAACATTAGTGGTGAGAGGTGGAAAGTTAAAAAAAATGAAAATGCAGTTATGATTAATTAGGAACCTGAACTTAATTTCATTATCCTTAAAAGTATTTCCCTTATCCCTTATCCCAAATTTTTTTGTCAGCGATCCCGTATTCTTTACACCTGATGCAACATTCTGCTGAACATCGATCCAAAGAGGCTCTCTGATTGATTAGTCAGCGAAAACGATAGGAGATACCTAAATCATGCGTCATTTACTATTTCTCACTACATTTTAATAAATTCTAGTTGCTTATTATTATTGTGAACCAACGTTTAGGCCTCCTACCTACGTTTTTTTTAAAGTTTTTTATAACACGAACCGAATGATAATATTTTGTTTTTTCTTTAAAGAAATCATTTCACATCGTCTCTACCATGGGAGTATTTTCAAATTGGTTACTAATTCCGTTACCATATGACCGCGGACTAACATAAGCTTGTCTGACTTGAGTATAGCCCAAGACATCTGCCGTGCTCCCTGCTAAAGGATTCATTTCAACAGCTTGGTTTTGGACTCCGTTTCGATTTGAACCGTTTAGCACCGTTCCAGCATTCCCGGAAGCACGTCGAGGCCGAATGATGCAGAAACACCATGCGATAAACAAGAAGGCGATAAATAAAAAATCCACCAATTATAGAGCCAATAATGACGACTGCCTTATTGACGGTGGATTCTGAAACTAAACAAAGATTATTGATTTTTTTCGTATTTTTATATTATATGACGTTAGCATCATTGGACCGTTCATAATAAATATCATTAGCCAATCTAAGCAACCACGACGGGAAAACTCACACGGGAAAGTGTATTCGTGCTCTCAATGCATCAAATACAGCAGATTTTTTTTCTGGAGTTGAAAGCATAGGGAGCGCTTCCAATTTCAGGAAGACAAAGAAAAATAATCCTCGTAAGCTTACGCAGTCCTTAAAACACTTCATTAGGAAATTTCAAATGAGATGCACTTGCAGAGTTGAACATATTATTGCAATTTTCACCTTCCATTGCCGTCGATGTCATAACATTCAAACATGCAATATTTAGAAGATTGATAACGTACAGTTTTTCATGCATTAATATTTTTCATCCCCTTGCGAAAACATTATTAATTATACGCGTCACGATAACCAGTGAGTCACAATGAAACTACAAGTGTTATATGGGGGTTTTTATGCTGCAAGATTACTCTTATATAAGGTCAGGAAATGTGTTTCGCGTCAGTTTTGTGAATTTGAAGCGATTTTTTAAAGCTATAATTAAAGGCTTTTTTTTTTTATCTCCAAAGGAGTACGGGTTGTTCTGTCGTAATTTGTAATAGCTTTGGTAATTTACAATAATTTTGTCGTAATTTGTAATACCTGTCGCCATTTTTAAGATGTCGTAATTTGTAACAACACTTTTTTCGTAATTTGTAATAAGAAAAGCTGACGTAATTTGTAATAACTTTATAGTGATTTGTAATAATAAGCATTGTTTACACTTTTCAATCAAAAGGCTTGTTTTTTCGAGTGGTTTTTGATCGTCAAGGGGGCAGTAAAAGGTTGATCTGAAAAGACACAATGATTTCGGCTCTTTTTTAGGAGAAACGTATTTGAAATAATAAGTTTGCATGAAAAACGAGTGAGGTACCCACTGGTACCCCAAGCTCATGAGTGAGAATCGTTCAATCCTTGTTGAGTAACAGAAATATTATAAGAGTGTGTACGGAGATGTAGGTGATCGTTATTTAGGGGTCGAAATAGTAATAAAAATACATCAGAAGTTATAATTTGCCTTTTATGGTGTTTGGCGTCTTGTTCAGCTACCCTGACGTACTGTATGTCAATACCGGTAATACAATAAACACCCGCTAATAAAAACTTGTGGATTAGAACCTCCTGATACAGATTAGGCAGGTTGTTATTTGTGGGTTGCAGTTATGTTAAAAAATTTAACGAAGGAGTGCAACTTTGAAATTGTAAATTTAAGTATAAAAGAACATACTGTACTAAAATGAATATAAATTCAATAATCAGTTTGTTAGGGTAAAATAATAATAATACAATTGTGGATAAATAGAAAGTTTATTTATTTCTCTGTTCATCAACAATGTATTACCTCCTTCATAAAAATTAAGAACTTACTTAAGAACCTATACTTAGTCTAAATTACCAATAAGTACAGTACCCCTAAAATACAAGAACTAACCCGAGAATCTATTTTTTAATACATTATGAGGATTTATAGATCGACATAAGAGGATCGGAGCAGGAGACTCGGTATCCGACTGACGAGGAGTCATAAAATATCAAATAAGTATTCCTCAGGGGCACCCAACGACTGTTTTCTGTAAAATATTTGTTCGGAGAAGCAAATATTGCCTAGAATTTTCTATGAATTGAGGACGGTTAAAATTCCTAGATATTCCTAGATAACCGTTCCATTATAAAGTGCATCTATAATTTTGGGTAAAATAATACTGAAGCCCTTGTAATTTCGGAAAGTCTTAAGGTACCTAGGATGACCTAACAGGTACAAATTTTATAGCTCTGCATACAATGCATTTCTAGAGATCTAAAAGTACTCTGGATAGCCTAAAAGTGTTTTCAATTTATTTAAGAGGAAACCGTCGTTGGGTGCCTCTGACTCCTATACCATATATCCTTGTTGTCCTGGTTAATTTTCAACTGAAATTTCTTCTGTTTCTTATGGAATTTGACGTTCCGATCTTACGTGTCGCTACAGCCAAAGTTCATTTGAATGGAATGGAATGGACTAAATGGAGTCTAAAATCAAAATATTACAAAAGAAAACTGACATACGTCTAACTCAAAATCACCTGGCTGTTCCTGGCCGGTTTGAATGGCATCTTGTCAGGTTTAGCACATTTAATAAATCTAGTTGAAAAATGCAGTTCTCTAATCGTCTTAAAAGTCTTAAACATGTCTGAAACTGTGTTCCACGGAAATCACTAGAACTGCAAGGCTCGTGTTAACTGACATTTTACATTTTGTGTTTATCCCGAGCACAAAGAAAGAAATTAATATTCCGTCCAATTGTTTAAAACCTTCATTGCACCGAACGTCAAGAATGTTTACCCATGAACAGTTGTAGTTGTGAAATCTAACAAGGCGGTCAGGAAGAAAAGGAACAAGGTGGTCCAAGGCCACTTACCTAAAAGTGCACCGGTAGACACAAGGTTAGTTACGAATTTTCTTTCATCCATATTCGTTCTTTCCACATGCTTTCTTCACAGCATATCAAAGGGCAGCAGAACTTTGATACTTCACTGAAGATAATTCGTCTTTTATCATGCGGACAGGAGGTGTTTAGTTTCCGCTTACGTAATAGCAACAACAGTTAATATGTTAAATATTGACTGAGATATGACATCCTTTCTGGGAAAAGAGGTTGTTTAGTTGTGTACATGTAAGCACGTGGTTGATTTCTTCCGCATGACACTAGGACAATAATTTTCCACAATCTGCTTAACACTTCTCTGTTCTGCTTTTGAGTGGACGGTGTCTAACATTTTATGCATTTGTCAGGATTATTATTTGGATTATTCCATTTAAATACAGACCAGAATCCCCGGCCAGGACCATTGGCTGTAGAGAAAACAATCAAGCGCTAATAATATCCGTGCAAAAAATACAGTAACTGTTGTTATCATGCTGAATTCAAAAGCTCATTATATTTCACGCCTGCAGTCAGGTCTCCCGGCAATCTATAAGAAATATTGAGAAATATTAGATATCAGTACATTATTATTGAATTTAATGGCTTTTTGGCTTTGTTACGCGTTCGTTGGGGAGGAACACGTGACGAAGCCCTAAGAACGTTTGCACGAGTCTTACTCAAGTATTCCTCAGCCAGGTCATATAATAACAATTATTATTCATTCAAAATATTTCTCCGATTCTGATTGGCTAAAAGCACACGTTTAATTCACCATAACCAGCCACTGATGACCAAATTTGGAAGAATTTTGACTTTAACGAGGAAATGACGTCAAAAATGCAGCGTTTTCGCAGGTTAAGGCACCGTTAACCGAGAAGACCTGGGGACGAGGTTGAGTTGTTTTGGTTGTGAACTTGAAAAAATGGCGGACATTTCACTCGTTTCAAGAGTAAGAACTAGGCGAAAAAATAGCTAAAAACATGGCAAGAACAGCAAGAAGACAACTCGGAGGGCGACATCTGCTATTTGGAGAATATTTGCGGAGCTGGACAAACCTAAACGTACACTATCGAAGATGAACTGAACATCGATGGATCAATGGAGGTAAGCATGTTTTAGCTATGTTTTTAAACTAGGACTTATTTTGAATGAATAATAAAACAGTTATTGAATTCGGCTTTCGTATCATATGAAGAATTATGGAGATCTCGGATGGTGTTATCCACCTCGGCCTACGGCCTCGACGGATAACACCCTCCTCGATCTCCATAATTCTTCATAAGATACTCAGCCTCATTCATTAACTGTTAAATCAAGTGAAATCAAACGGCTAAGTTTATCTATAACAAGGATTTTTTGCTTCAGTCCTCAAATAATAACTTAATACTTTAATGTTTACTGGAGACTTCTTCTCCATCGCCAGGTCCCGCCAAGGAAATTGTCTACGAAACCATTTTTTTCTATATATTCTTAATAATTAAAAAATAAAAGCTATTGCTTCTTAAAAGAC